AACAGGTTTTAATGTCTTAAAAAAAATCATATTAACTAAAACTTTTGAATGCTAGCTTATGCTGTTATTCTTTCTTTGTGAATGAGAAAACAAGAAATTGAGAGAGGTGTACATATATCAAAAAATGTTGTCCATTTGACTTGTGTGCTAAATTATTTTTTGAAGCAGGTGACAAATAGACAATTTAGGTCATCATTCAAAAAAAAAAAAATAACTTGTGCTGTAGCTATGACATATATAACACAAAGATTGGGCATTTCTACACGTTACATCAGGTTGGACATCAAACATTGTTGGTTCTTGTGTTTCTTGGGACCAAATATCTTTGATATCAAACATGGTATTTATATATTTTGCCTTCATGTATTATGATCTAGAGGGAATCCGTTTCTTGGGGTTGCAGAGTAGTGGTCGACCGATATTGTTTTTTTTTTTTGACAGCCGATGCCGATATCTTGGAAAGCAGGGTGGCCGATATAAAGCCGATATAATTTTATTTATTTAAATTAATATTTAAGAAATTTAAAAATAATTTGAAAATGGATTAAAAAATAAATGTGTTAAATAAACATACTTGTACTTTAGATGACAAAGTATTTTCACAAATAAAAAAATATTTAATTAAAAATATAATAAAAAAAGGAAGTAAACCCTGTAACCAACAGGGCACTCAGTATTCTGGGAAGTTTGTGTGCATTGGGAATCATATTTTTTCAAATAAAGCTAAGGTAACACTCATTTTACATACAGCACATAGTGAAAATGACATTAATATGGCAGTGGGCAAATGCATAAAGCGCAGCATAATTTGAAATCAGTCACGAGTTTAAAGTTTGTCGATCGCTAGTCTCCAGTGAAGCTGAACTCTCCTCCTGTCAGCATTCCATTCAAACGGATCGACCGTCACGCAGAGAACACGCGATCATGCAGGATACAAATGCACAAGATCTCACAACTGGATCCGACTAAAGGCCCTTTCACACGGGACGCGGCAAGCGGTGGAATCGCCGCACGGCTGCCGCTTTCTCTTGTAGTGGAAGCGTTTTGTGCAGTGGCGGTGGTCGCGTTAAAACATAACGGAAATTTGTGTTTGTGTCATTCTGCCATTAATTGTTGTCATTATTAACCTTTTTTCCCCCCTTTGGCATAATTGAAGTTGTTTTTGATGATTTGCCTAAAGAGCATACCTGTGAGGTTACGATTGAATGAATTATAATTTCATTTATGTCTCTGTATGAGATTTTAGATGGGTCATACAGTTCTGGGAAATCTACACTTAAAACAATCTTCTCCTCTATTTTTTCAATGGGCAGTTCGGTTAAATGTTCACTGATTGGTTGAAACCGACGCGAAGCGCCGTGCCCGTGGAAGCGGCAGGATTTTGGGTGCACGAGCACCGCCTCCGCGCCGCCCGCGAAACCGCCCGCGTTTTGCCGCTTTCCGCATGTCTCCCATTGTGAATGAACTAGACACTCGCGACTGCTGCGTACCGTGTGAAAGGGCCTTTAGACAGAACTGTTAACGACGACAGCGAACAAGAGGGAGAATGTGAGCACTGTGTGCTCAGGTGCTGCCACTCTCAGCGTTGTCAAAATAAAAGTCCCGCCTTGAACGCATCGGCTAAACAGGAAAACTTATCGGCCGATTTAATTAAATCATAGCGTTTGTGAATTCACAGTTATGCTTAATTATGATTTTTAAACCGTCTTAATATATCATGCAGCCTTGGAAAACAGTCTAATAATGTTTTATGGATTCTCGTCCGTGAAATGCGGCACTTCCGGTATTTTGGCGGTTAGTCGACGCAGGCAATATGAAGTCGATGATTTTTTAAAATCGAATAGTTGAATAGAATCGACGAATCGCAACAGCCCTAATGCCGATATTTAAAAAATGCCAAATATCGGCTGATATATCGGTCGACCACTATTGCAGAGCAAGTACAATTTTTATTTATTTATTTATTTTTATAATGTGACCGTAGAACACATAGCCAAACAGCATCTCCTGGTATCTAATTTTGCCTTCACGCTTAGTTTCTATTAATGTTATTGTATTTAGGCAGATAGTGTGTCTTTCTTTAAAGCAGGCAGATAGCATGTCTTTCTTTAAAGCTTTAAAATGTACATTTTCCACTGTTTTCGAAAGTATTGTGCTAGTGACCGCGTTGCCTGGTCATATGTAGAACTGAGTCATACAGCACGATTTCTGTAATCAATCACCTCGCATTCTCTGACATGGTGGGCTATAATCAGTTTGATTTGTTCATTTGTTTCAAATGTTTGCACTAATCTTACAACCGCCAGAGACTCTTGGCCCTCCATATTTTCTTGTTGCATTAGTAACTGCTTGTCACTCACATAACCTCTCAATTGCTGTTTTTGTTCTCAAGATAGCAGAACATTAAACCTGGACTTCAATTTGCTGCTTGACAAGCCAGGCAGGTTTACAGGCCTGAAACATGTTGCACGGAGCAGAATTGGCTTTTTTTTTGTATTGAAAGCATAATAATCATAATGAAGCAATTGAAGGAAAAACGCTTTGGTCTTCCAGCCGCCATTGACATTGAGATTATAGATCAGCTAGTCAGTTGGTCTCCATATAGAAAAGAGTCATGAGCTGCAAGCAAAACCACATTCAGCCTAATATGTGAAGCTGTGGGAGATCTTTCATACTTGCGTTTCCCTCCTGCATGCTCATGGTGCACATAGGAATCGATTCACATCATCAGTGTTAAGGCTAAATTTGAAGTTGTTCTTCAATATACAAACTTGAAGTATTGACCAAATGCAAATAAATGAGCCGTCCCCAAACACACTTTAATGCTGGTGGGCAGATCTCTGAGATTGCAGTGCAGCGCATGGCTCTGTGCAAGAAAAATAAGGGTGCACTAATGTGGTCAGTCATCAAAGGTCTCTGGTAAACACAGGAGCTCTTTGACAAATGAAAGCCCAGGCACTTTGATGAAGGGGGTTAGTGGCCGTGGCACTAAGCATATGATATTCTCGACTTAATGCGTGCATGAAGAGAGAGAGCCAGTGTCGCTGTCCTTGCCATTGTGTGTGCATGTGCGCAGCTGGACTCAATGCCTGATAAAAATGCACAGCAGTAAATCCTTTCATGAGCTGAGTGACGGCGTGTTAAGACACGGGTGAGGGTTCTTAACGCGCCTCTCGTGCTGAGAACCAGCACTGGCAGGATGTGACATGCCAGCTCCTCCGGTTTGCATCATCATTCAGTCAACCACAGCTATTCCTCCAGCACCATTAACATTCAGATGGAGAGAGATGCGCCTAGTCTGGAGAAGGACTCTGGGATTGATAAGGTCAGACCGTTACCCCTGCAGTTGCAATCACGCCCCCAACTGCTCTTCATCCTCCCTCTCCAAACTGTATTTGGGGAGCATTTGGGCAGCACACTCAGATGCCATTTCTCCATTCTTCTAGCTGTTTTGGGGACTTTTGCCTTCTGTTGCATGTACTTCAGTTATTTAGTAAATGCGCTAGATGCACTTAAATATAAATGGCAGCATAATTGTGACAATCCTGTTGTCTTCCAGATGGACGGAGAAATAGCTTCTCCTTCAACTTTTGGCTTTGTAAACGCTGCTGGACTCTCAAAAGTACATTTGGGTTATTTTGATGTATGGCACTTTGCTTGATAAGTGCTCTTCCGGCTGTCCTTACAAACCTAAGCGGATTGCTTCTATTTTAGAGATTTCCTCAGAAGCCCAACGCAAAATAACCCAATTGACCAAGATCAAACATGAAAAATTATGCCTTTTTTCCTCTGGGAAACTTGGCCACTCTCCACAACAATTTAAAGTAAGAGATAGATCTACTGATTCCCATTTCCCTGGCACTCCTCCTCTGTGCCCTTGAGAGATCAGACTTGCTTGCCGTACACATTGTATCAGGGACGCGGGAAGTAGGGGTGCTGAGGGGGCTGCAGCACCCCCTGTTTTCACATGGTTGCAAATGCAACACCAAGTTTGTGCATTGTCTTATTTTTAATGGTCTGTGTTGGTAGTATTATTGTTTGTGTGGTTGACTTTACAAAGTTTCCTCGCCACTGATTAATAGAGTTTCAAGTTGGAGTATGAGGTAACCATTCTCAAACTGTAGCTGAAGAGGAAAAAGGCACTTATTTATACCTTTGCCTCAGTGGATTCGGCTGTTTCCATAAAAGGAATCAATTATGCCAGCCCTGGCCTTTGATTTAATAATTCCAAGCTTTGAGGATATAATTAATTCTGATGGGTAAATCATACTGGAGAGCGGGAACTGGATTAAGGAGCAAATTAAGATTCCACATCAACAGGGCACACTGATTCATTAAAGGCCTTGTTTTACATGAGGAGAGAGGAGAGAGACAGTGGCTTGATGTAAAACTTGAAATGTTCATCTTTGAAAAGATGTCCTTCGCTTTATCACCAATTCAGTGAATGTGCTGTTAGCCAGATGTAGCAAAAGCACAGAGTAATAGTTTTCAAAAGTGGCTTTTTTTTAAGTGGTACCTTCAATTAAAAAAAATAAAGCTTGATGAATAGATGTGCAAGTAGCTTTGAAATCACCAACCCTCACCCTTTCCTCAAGTCATTGTTTGTCATTTAAGGTTTTCTTCTTTGCGGACACCCACACACTCACAGGGCTCGAATGCATAAAACACACAGTCCTTTTTCTCTTCACCAGAGGGCAGCATGGCTCCATAGCAATGCAGCTTGGGTGTATCTCAGGAGAAAGACTCTTGTGTGCATTCAACATCTCCTTGACTTGTCATGGAATTGATAAACATATATCAAGGATTCATTACTCTATCTAACCTTGGCTCTGTAGGACAGTGTCCTTACTGTGGTCATGAATGTGCAGTGAGAACAATTTTCAGAGTTTATTTCCAAAAAAGAAAAAAAAATTGTTATATTGAAATATTTTAAATTAAATTGTTATATTTAATACAATTTTATTAATATATATTAAATTTATTTTTGATTGTTTCTACAGGAGGACATGAACCTGAATGAAGAGCGTAAAGCCCCCCTTCGAGGGAAGGACCTTAGCACTAAACGGGAGATGGTGGTCCAGTACATTTCTGCAACAGCCAAATCTGTAAGTGCGCCACAAAACACAGGGTGGCCGGTCTTAGAAAGAGAGAAACAGACAGAGGAGAGAGTGGGGATGAACCACATGATGAGACACTATGGAATAATGAGCTTAACTTGATCTGCTTTCTGCCTCTCTTGCTAAAGCCCCAAATCTTTGATTGCTGCCTCCTTTTTATTATTCATTCTTATTTATTTATTTTGTATTTTTTTTCTCCTCACAATTTTTTTTCCTGGGTGCTTATCAGGCTGCTTTTGTTGTATTGCACTTTCCAAACACTTCATATTGCCGGGGATCAAGTTTTCATTAGAATTTGGTACACATCACTGTCTCTGCTCGGTAAGCTGAAACACGGCTCTTTCATCATCGCAGATGAATAAAGGCTAGAATGCCACCGCCTCACGGGGTAATCCAAGGCTTTTGGGGTGAATTCTCTTCATTCCCTTTATGAAGTAGGTCCAGCCGAGGTTTGACTCCATGTAAACCCCACGATCCCCTTCACCCACTCCACTGCTGGCTCCTCTGGCTGGCCTTCAGCATCCATTTTCATTAGCTTTCCTCCCGGCTATGATAATTAATCAGCATTATTAATAATGATGATAATCAGAGATGATTGAATTCTGCAGCAGGCTCATTGTCAGCCCTGCGAGCCTGGCATGTATTGTGAAATATGATTCACATATTAGTATTGTAGTCTCAAAGCAGGAAGGAGGAGGGGGTTCCTGTCTCTCTGCACCCTGTAGCCCCCTCAGCACCACCAGAGGCACTCACCAGCAGCATGTCACTGTGGAAGCTATACACAAGCGCTCTGACAAGCAAGGAGGAGGTTTGGAACGTGTGCTCTGCATTCTAGGGAAGAGATGTGCTTTTATGTGATAAGAGATGTTTACCACAGGCACAACACACTTTTCCCTGTAATGCTCAACTCTAGCACCCAGAGATCTCCTCCTCCTCTTTTAAACATTCAGCTCAAGCTACTAACCAAGCTGCATACCATATCTGCATACTGCCGATTTTGTGGGAGTAGTGCAAATATTCAGCCCTTTTCAAATTATGTTACTGTTTCTTTTTATAATATCGTTGAATATGACAGATTTAATGTATTTAACTTTAAGCCAGTGCTATTTTAGGTGGGGAAAAGTCTTCTCTGATTATTTATAAAGTGCCCTTGTCTTTTATGATTTTTTATATTTATCGATCAAATAGCATTTATGGCTCTTTCTGGCGACTAACATTGGCAATCAATATGAAACAGTATATGTATCCATTTACTTCTGTAATGTGACATTTTTTCTGAGTGAAATGGAAAAGAAAAAGCAGTAGGATTGCCTCTATCCATTTGAATTTTTTTTGCATCATAAAAACTGGTTGGAGGGGAGAGATAGAAAAATTGGTGATGTTAAGAATTAAATTTGAGATGTTATTCAGGCTTCCCATAGTCATTCAAATACAATTATACTATAATTTTTTTTTCCAGGCCTGAAAGTTTTGTTTTTTTTTGAATGAAGATGGGAAATTTTGGTAGTGATTTTGTTCCCTTCTATTGCTAAAAAACATTATTCAGAAAGCACAGAAAAATATCGGACATTAGTTTAAATTAGACTTTGGACATTAGTTTAAAATGAACATTAGATTTAAACCCTGGTTATTTTGCTAAAAGATTACAATCACAACATTTTTGTTTATTTTAGTTATTTTTAAGACCTATAGCATATGTATTGAGAAAATAAATAGGTCGATTTTGATTCCATGTTGATTTTTATGTTTTAAAATTTCACGACTGTCAGAAGCATGAGATGGCAGGATCTTTTTTGCTACAAGTGTTTTTTCACTTGACTACTGTAAATAAAACCGTCATATTCTGTTTTCCTCCCAGAGATCACTCTCGGAAATATTGTGCGAATGCACTTTCTTTGTATGTCGAGTAGCTACCAAGGGTGTTTTCGAGTTGCGAATTTCACGGACTAATGCTTACACACGCACACTGACACGCGTCCAGAGAAAGTCACTCCTGTGCTGTCTGTCTCAGACTGCACTGGGTCAGTGTCCTCTCTTTGGTTGGCGAGTGGGAGTAATTAAGTGGTGGTCTGGCGGTAGAGGAGGCCTTTGGTCTTCGCTTGAGCCACTGCAGGTGTAATTTTAGCAGGGGTGAAAGGGGCCAAGAGTAGACAGCACGGAGACGGCCTCTGCACACCTCCGCATTAATAACCCATACCCATCTAAATAAAAGAAGGGAGAGCGGAGTCCATCCATCCCACTTAATCTGCTGTTATGTCCCCGAGTGTGCCTACAGTAGATTGTGTTTCAGCACACAGCTTTACAGAGCAAATATTAGTGGGAAAACAAACCCATCCGATCCACTCCTGTCGCAGCCTGCCTTCTTGCCTGTCTGTGTGCGGCAGACTCCCACAGCTCCTGGCTTGCAGGAGGGCAGAGTGATGAAATAAAAGAAGGATGGAAGAATAGAGAAGTTTCACACCAGCGATGTCTGTCCTCTTTGATAGCTCAGATATTATTGCTTGCTTGACAGAAACTTGCAGCTCCCATGGTTAACAGCTCCTTTTATTATTTACAGCTAACACCTCTTTCCTTGCAACACATTTGTGCATGCTTTCATTATATTATGTGATCACACCTTTTTAGTTTGTTCACACTGAACATTTTTGAATAGCTATTTGCCAAAAAAAGTTATATACAGTGGGGCAAAAAAGTATTTAGTCAGCCACCAATTGTGCAAGTTCTCCCACTTAAAAAGATGAGAGAGGCCTGTAATTTTCATCATAAAGTGCATATTTATCATTATCATTAAGTCCTTTGCATGGCTTTTGGGTTTTTTTGTTTTAGTTTTTTTTTTTAGAAACAAGCATTTTCTTCTTGGAGGCATCCACTTGAGTCCTTCAGCATGCAAAACTAAGAGCCCTCATCACACTTTACAGAGGGTATCAGTAGGATACTTTTAAATGACTGCCTCCACAAACTATAATGTCTTTTTAAGGGAAAGTGCCTTTGCATTTAAATACTCAAATACATACGAAATAAATATTTAAATACATAGTCCTCACAGAAACGTGTTATTGTTTAAAAAAATAAGTAAAAAAATGCATTAATTTTAATTAGTACTTCACGCATGCAGCTGTTTGATGTGACATAAATATTGACATAATTTCACAAAATAATAGCTGTATTTTTTCCTGTGATCGGTGTAATCAGCCTTTGCTTGTGGAGGTGGCGCACAATATTAAGAATCCAGGGTGTGTAGCTTTTAAATAATAATGTATTTATTTTGTTTTGTGGAATATGTAAATATGATGTTATTAAATGCTATTTATTATTATTTAAATGTATTTATCTTATTTGTAAGAGTTTCATTTTCATGTCCTTTTTAAAATGTTAAATATAATTTGCTAAATAATTTTACAGGGAGTATGTAACCTGAGCATAACTGTAAGCCACATGCAGTGAAAACCAGTGTTGCCTTGATGCTCTGCAGATGTCCTTGACCGTTAGCTTTTCATGAAATGCTTTCTCTCTTTTTCAGTCTCTGACAGGTGTGTCATTGTCCTCACGAGTGCCAAAGCATGCCTACAACTAACACCGTCATTTCCCTCTCGCTCTGTCAGTGTCATGAAAAGCTTTGACTTTGCTTTACTGTTTCGCTCTTAAATTAAATGATTTATATAAGGAACAGAATGTGTCTAGGCAGGGTCTTTGAGGGGGAAGGAAAAGATTTCTTACCCAGGATAGTCACCTGAACATTGTAAACACTGTGGTATTACAGAGATTTTGAAATGGAATGGAAACTTAATTACATCACAAGTTGTCGTAATCGTTTATGACAGTTTTTGAGCGATGATCTGATCCTGTCTAGGCTACAGGAGCTAATAAATAAATGACTAAATGAGTAGATTTGTATCACGGAGCATTTGATGGTCATGAGAAGAGCTGGAACGAGGATATAAATACCCGTCTCTTGATATGATGACATTTCTTCAGAAGTTTGTTTACAGGAGCTACTTCATAATAGAGCTTCTTCATAATTAGCATATTCCATGACTGCCTAATTCTGCATTTACAACAGTTTCCATCATCTGGTTTAAGTTTTCATTTTTTTTTCCACTCTCCATGCTCCTCAGGAATTGACAGCATTAATACCACAGTAAAGTGACAATGAGGTGTTGTTTTGTGAAATTTGTGTAAATTGATGTTAGCAGCAGCTTTTCCCCTCAGGCTCCTCCCTGACAGTTCTTTATGGGGTTTCAAGATAATGTCTGTTCTTTTGATCAAGCTGCAGTAAAAATACAACATTCATCAAACCCAGCCAAACACGGCACAGTGCTAACAATATTTGGCAGCTGTCCAGCATGTCTGGTGAAAGCAAAAGCAGATGACTTTTTTGCTTTGAGTCAAGACCCAAACCCTTATCGATTCTTTTGAGCATATTTGCTTGGGATATGGAAAATTGGACTCGAAAGTAGCACTCTATTGATCAAGAGGTTACGCTGTTAAAATTGACTTTATTATAAACCTTGATTTAAAAAATGTAATCGTGGGAGTTTAAAACAAAAACAAAGGACAGCTATGTTAAAACAAAAAGAACAGATCAGATTTAGAAACTAAATTTAGACATGCATTCGGTTTTGTGTTTCTAAGAATTTGAGAATTGTTTGTTAAATCTGCTATTACATCAGTTTCAGTTGTACACACAATTCTGCTCTCAGAGAGAGAGAGAGAGAGAGAAAAAAACCTTTCTAAATATTCATCCTAGTAATTGTCACTATGGCATGGTCAAGAAAAAAAAACATGCTGACTTCATCAATCTCTGAGCTGTGATGTATAATTTGACACTTGATAGACACTTGATTGGCCTTTGGAGGCATTTTAGGAGACCATCTGCTCATGAATAAAATACCATGTTGGGGTTAATTTTGTAAAAAATTTACTAGATTCTTACAAAATTTTATTGAGGGATGATTATTTGAAGATATTTGTACTGCTTGTCAAAAAATTCCCTTAATATAGAAACCGCTTGATTGTCATGAAGTAGCCTAATGATTTGTGGTTTAGAAACAATAGATTGTTGAGATGGGGCATTATTTTATATCCTTTAAAACATGACATTTTTGCATCAATCATTTCATCAGATGTTGTTTTTTTGTTTTGTTTCTCTGCACTCATTATGCAAAACCAATGATTGACCAGAGAGCCACTTTTAAAAACTCAATTGGATATAAATTCATAATGATCTTTATGTTCCAAGCAGTCATCAAAATGGCAGACATTGTCTTTAGTGTCCGTCTGAACCCTCTCTCTCCACCCTGTTAATTTGTGTGTAATTCTCAGATGAGTAGGCAGCGTAGCAGAGAGGGCCAGTGTGCCAGCCATTTATGTATAAGCTCTAATACTTCAACAGGATAGTACCGGAGAGATTCTGGCCTACTAATGATTGTGCTGTTTGTGTCTTTTTGCACATTAACTACCCTCCGCTGACCGCTGCATGCAGATAACTGGGAGCAAAGTTGCGGTAAGTAACAAAATTATTTATTCACTTTTGATTTGTTGTTGTGCAATCTCTCTGTCTTTGCTGTATCTTTCTCTCTCTTCTTCTTCCTTTTTGTTTTGTTTTTGAAAATATCTAGAAAAGTAATCTCTATGGCTTTCGATTTCTATTTTATTTTCAGCATTAGTGAAGTTTATAGGCTATAATTTGAAAAAGTTCTATTTTTTTTCTCCCAATCTCTGCATGTAAATTGCACATTTAGAAATGAGTGATTTCTCAATTGTGCTCTCTGAGAATAAACTAGGACCTTTTTTGTTAGTTTAAGCAGTTTTTCTTTGAAATGGATCACTGCCTGACAGATATTAGCATTTAAATATTGTAACATCAGGGATGAGCAATAGTTTTTAGGCAAATAATCATAATCTGTGATCTAATCTGTTTATTCTAATGTTCTGTATATAAATGGGTTTCATTGTGTTCATTCTCCCCCCCCCAGACAGCGTTCTGAGAATGTATCACTTAATTAGATTTTCCCACACACACACACACGTACCATGTTGATTGAACAGCAGAAAAGATATTGAGTGCACCCCCCATCCTATAAATATGTTCCATTTTGCAGTTGGACGTTCAGCACAGCCCATTTGCAAACCATGTCTCTGTCCCAGTCACATTACAGCATGTTACTATTGTTTCTGAAATGTTCATAGCTGCTCATGTTGTTATTGTCACTTACTTTCGCCCCTTGCCCCCCACTTTCTCCAAAATGACGGTAATAATCTTTATAAATATATACTGTCTGGGCGATGGCAGTGTTTCCTCATTTCACAGCTCCGTAATGCTGTAATTGCAGACTGGCTTCTACTATTTCTCATGTGGTGCGGTCCCATAGCCCATATGAGGCTGCTTGTTATTTGTTTTATTTTATTTATTTAGAGGGGCTCCGTTATTGCCTTCGCAAGTGTCACTTGTCATTTAAAATGCTGTTTTATTGTGTTGCCGAAGCTATGAGAAAGGCCCGTAGATGTACGTGAGGAAGCTTGAAGATAAGGTAGCACAGGTAAATGTTGTTATTTACAATATAGCAATAAGCTGCCACAACAGACTCATTTATTTGTAGGGAAATGGCCCGTTCAATCAATGTTCTCATGCCGCTTGGCATAGAATTGTGTCGAGTGATTTTTCTATAAACTGTCAGCAATAAAACATGCTTGATGCTGATGAGCATGGAAGTATGTTTTGAATGTTGCATCACTACTTAGGATAGAGCAGGAAGGTTACTCTGGAATTGTCTCTATCGAAGAACTGTCTGACAGCGTGCACCACAAACAAGTCCTCTCATTTGGAAGTTTCTCGCAGTTCAGAGTTTCCTGTACTTCCTGCCATTTTATCTGACTTTTGCATGCACTTCCTACAGATGGGAGAGTGTGAGGGCTTGCAGGGAAGCTGTCAGCTCTTTCATTCTCCTTGTTTCTGTTTCTCTCTTTCCCAATATCCCACCTTTATTGGGTTTTATTGTGGAACCTAAGTTCAGTGGGGCCAAGATGACGACCTCTCACTGGGCAGATTGCTATTTCCACGCTGTCAGTGTGGTTTGGAGGCAGACCGACCTGCCTGAGCCACATCTTCCTCAGGGATGAAATCTCCCCGGCACGCTCTCACAGGGCTCAAATTCACTGGTCAGCGTGTCCACATGCTGCTGAGTCACATACGCTTCAGCAGTTTTGTATCAGTGCAGCTTGATTGTGATGATGATGGTGACCCAAGGGGGCATAGGCATACCTGCCGCCCCGCCACAGTGTCCGATTGATCAGAGATGTTGGTGCTTTGATTGTCAGGCTAAGGATGATAGTTTGTGTGTCAAAATGCCCCCGTTTTATCGACATGGAATTGATGAGACCCTCTGTGAGGGAATGGAAGACTGCAGCTCCCTGTACTTAAATAAAACACAACCAACACACAGATAACCCAGTCAGTGTTTGGCCCTGAAGACTGTTCCACCGTTACCTGTTAAGGTCACATGACTTGACCTGCAAAGCTTCTCTAGACCTCAGGAGGAGATCAATAATCACAAAGTCAGCCCAGCAGTTAGTAAAGACTGCCTGTTTCCACGGAAACATGGCGACACGTTCAGAGTTGTGGGCAGAGAGAGAGAGAGAGAGGAGTCGCTGAGACCTCAGGTACTGGAGTCTGCTAGGGCTCTTAGCGTTCAGCTGCTCTCTGAGAATCCCTGGTATTGTCGGTGAAAGAATAATAGACAAAGCTTGTATTTTAGAAATGATTTAGCTTCTTTGCACATGGGACAAAGACTTGGCCCTTTCTCGGGTGGAATTGCATGGATCTCGCAGTCATGCTAAAGTGTGTTGTGCTTAAATACTCTCTTTGGAACCAGAGTCTTGAAAAGCATATGTGAAAAAAGAGCAAAACCGAAGAAAAGCGAAGAAAGATGACATTTGTCTATTGGTTTCCATCACAAGTGTTTTTATTTTGCACAAAACAAGTTTGGTTGTTAGTATCTAGGATATTTTTACAGTCTGATATGATTTTTATTTAAATTGCAGGCATGTTCAAGTCTTGTCTGAAGGGTCATACTTACGAGTTGAAGGTACATGAATGGCACCACGAAGCCAATACATTACAAGTGGGAAAATTCGAGTTTACGAGTCAGGGTCTTGTTAGTGAGAAAATATGGCAGACACAATATGCAGCATTTATATTGATGTAAAATTAGTTGAAATTGAAAATTTTTTTGCAAAAAAATCAGATTTACACAATATAATAATATTGAGCATATATGATATATAACGATTCAGTTAACAGTGCCTTCAAACATTTATTAAAAACACCTGATTTTTTATAATTTTTTAGAAGTAGAAGTAAAAAAATCTTGTTTGTTTTTTTTGTAGAAAAGGTATCTTACTCTGACCAAAGGGATTGAGCTTGATTATGATGCTTTTCCATTATATTGTATGGTAATGATTTACCTCCTTGCTCTTAAAATGTCCAAAGAAAGCTTGTTTTTGTGAGAGTTCAACTTTCCTTCAAATTATTTCTTAATTTGTGTTTCTTTCTATTAACGTTGAATATCCGATACAGTCTCTCCAAGGCTTTTGTTGGAGTTCAGTTGAGTAGTAGATCGCCTCTCCTTCCTCGCTTCTTTTGTCTCCTTCGCTTCTGTATAGTCCACAGAATTTGTATTCCCAGGCAAATGAATATGCTTGGCATTTGTGTGTGGGCTCCACTTGTTTCATTGGTATACCCAGTATACTCCTGTTCCAAAGCTCATCTCTACCACGGCCATACAGGCTCATTATAAGCACATGTTTAAAAGCTTTTCTGCAGTGAGGGTGCACGTGCACCATGTCCTTTTTCACTCGCTCTGGAGAGGGCCCCTTTTAACTAAACTAAGTTTGAATAAAATCAAGGACAGCCCATCCCCACCTATTACGCCTGAGTCTGAAAGGGTCTCTTTGTTTCTGTTTTGCCATTAATGTTGATTGCGTACTAGAGGCTGAACTGATTTGATAAGAAGTCTTAGGAGGCAGAAAGAACGTTTGCCCTATGGAAAAATAAATCGAATAACCCCCTTTGAACCTGTCCATCATTTTTATAGATACATTTTAATTAGGATGAAGGAACTGTGTTGAAAGAATATATGTTCTATGTGATGGTTTTGTCTTAGTTGATTTTTATTTATTTAAAAAAATGTGTCCGTAAATATTTAGTTAGTGCAATGACATTGATGACGCATGTGATTTAACAGCAATGTTTTTAGTTACAGTTCTGTGAGGTGTTATTTTACTATTTTTATGTGCTATTATAATATAATAACCTTTATTATATTTTCAGTTTATTTAAATTTTAGTTTGACTAATCTTATGTGCTTTTGTCAGTTTTATTAGTCATTTTATTGTCAATTCTATTTAGTTTTATATTTAGTACTCCAATTAAAACTTTTAGTTGCCACATTTCTATATAATTTAAGTTGCTTCTAATATTTATATTTTAATTTATTAATATATTTTGTATATGTTATTTACCAAAACAGTTTTTTTCATAGTTTTAGTTATAGCAACATTGATTCTGTGTGTTTTTATTTACATCATTATCTGCTATTGCAGTTTTTTTTCTTGATAACTGTTTGAATACCCAATGCTGGCTATGGGAATATATGCTGGATGGGAATATTTTTACATTGTTAATTTATATATATATATATATATATATATATATATATATATATATACAGTATGTATAT